ATTGCATTCAGTGATTCACTTAGTTGTCTTGTTCAAACAAAAAAAGAATACTATCAATACATTAGTTAAGCAAACAAATATATTTTCTAAAACCAAGCTGATTATAATCTATCAAGTATCAACTTTTAAAATGCTTTTTTATCAAACAAGTTATCTCTAAAAATAGCTTCTGAGCTTTTACAAACAAACAAATATGCAACTGGAAGATCTGTTATTTAGTCTTCCTTGACAAGCCCTTTTTTCAAGCAATGTTCATATTTGCAATCTTTCAAATTCAAGTTTCAATCATTAGGAATTTCCTGAATATTAAGCAATCTCTCAACATCTCTTTACTTAGCTTCTTTAAATTTTTAAGATAAATCTTAAGGCCAACAGTTCTACATATTTTTTAATATTTTCAAAATTTAATTGAAATTTTTCTCCTGAGAATGATATCTTTTCTACCAGAACAAATGTTTAAAGCTCTAGTCAGATTCCTTACTTTCATGCCACAGTTTCAAGTCAACTCTCAAAAGCCATTGTTGTTATTATCATCATTTTATTTTTTTTGCAATTTACATAAGTGCACCAGAAAGCCTAATTTAATTTTTCCAAGTTAAAATAAATATTGCAATTCTGTTTGCCATTACAATATGTACAGTTTGTTTATAAATTATAGTACATCTGGCAATTTATTTTTTCACAACATACTTTCCCACCTCAGATTGCAATCCAAGACATCTTGCATACCACTACCAGGCAAGATGTACTATAGTAAAAACTAACCTAATTGGGTCATTCCGTGGCACTCTCTCTCTTCCTGATAGGAATTTAGGTCTTTGTGACCTAGGAGGGTCAGGTGCGCTGGGACCTCTTCCTCCTTTCCGGACTGTGGTATGTCATCTGTGAATGTAGATTGTTGATACTACAAGAGGATCGGAGTAAACCGCACTTGCTCCGACCCCTTTCAGGGCAATGTCCATGTACGTATCCACAGTTACATTCTGTGTTTTGCATTGCTTATATAAGTCCATAATGCATAGGTCTATTTCCATCATGTATGTAATAACAGTTGAGTTCACAAAGTAGGTTGTTCTTTTGCCAATTTTTTCAAAGTAATTTAGAGTATTAGGCAAGAGTCTATCGGCTATTGTTTGTATATTAGCGTATCTGTGCATAAATGTTGATGATGTGCTACAGGGGACTCTGTATGCTGAGGTGATTAATGTGTTTTGTATTCTTTGTAGTTTGTTTATGTGCTTAGGAACTGTGTTTATCCATGCCAGACTGGCATATTCTATTATTGGTCGAATGTATGTTTTGTATATTTTAATAATGTTATCAGGTGATGTTCCCTGGGTTTTGCCTATTAGACTTCTTGCATAATTTGTGCGTTTCCAGATTTTTGTTAAAATGTTATTTGTATGTTTGACCCACGTTAATTTTTGGTCAAATGTTAGTCCTAGGAAATTATTCATTCTAAAATTTTGCCTACACAGCTTTCCGTGGCACTTCTCAAATTACTATATAAAATTATAAGTATATTATTTCCCTCTCAAAAACAAGGCCCATCTTTAGGTCTAACTTCAGCCTCAGGTTCGACCACTAGTTTGGCACTAATGAATAACATATTTTCTTTTTTCGTAATAAACTAATATACTTCCCTGCCTCGGATTTCAACACCAGACTTCTCACACAGTGACACACTAACCACTGTTTAATTACATTTACAGTAAAGGAATATAACGTTGTGCCTATCTTCAATAGGCTTCAGTTTCATCCGCGAGAAGAATTCCACCTTACGATTCTAGAATATTTTGCCGTTAACTCAATGATTAAGATAAGTAAGCCAGCGCACTACTACTGCACCTTCAAGTTCAACTGTAAAAATGGAAAGAACAGAAAAAAACGTGAATTTCTATTATTAAATACGAGTTGAACTAAACACTTGTACTTGAGCTTTGAGAAGTAAATTGTGTTTACGTGACCTCTCATGCAAATATCTAGAACTGTGAAAAAACACTGTCCCCTGGTGGATCAGAGGTAAGTTAAAAAATCGAGAGTTTAATACCCCGCGGCGGGCACAGCGACTAGCCCAATGTGCATCTGCTCTGAATAAACAAACAGACCATGTTTTTTTACTAATATATATATTTATATATGTATGTGTGTGTGTGTTTATATTATAGAGTGTATGAATAAGGTTTAGAAATATTTTCTTTCTTTTAGAGCGCCCCATAGAGCGAACCGGAGAGAAAAAAAGTGGTATTTTATAGAACATCCATAAGAGGTTTGTTTGTTCGAAGTTAAGCACAAAGCTTCACAATGGGCTATCTGTGCTCTGCCCATCACGGATATCGAAACCCAGTTTCTAGCGTTGTAAGTCTGCAGACATGCCGCTGTGACATAAGAGGAATTTCTCAAAGTTTTAATTTTTATCCTCACTCAAGGTAATTTGTTTCTATCAAGTGGAGTTTGACAACTTATTTGTTTTCGTTTTTTTACTAAAAAAAGAACTTATTTAAAAACACAATTAACTAGTAATGAAGTGTAGAGTGACTGAATGATTAAATATCTTTAACATTAATATTTTGACAACAAGAATAATATCATATTGCACTCAAAATGTCGTTAGAGGAAAATAATGTTATTGGCTTGATGAATTTTTTTTATTAACTGTTTTTCGTTTTTGGAAAAAATTAACTTTTACCCCCAAAAATAGCATGTGGTAAAATAGGCTATTGTTTTTTTTAGGTCATACATAAAATAAAGCACAAAGCTACACAATGGGCTATCTGTGCTGTGCCCATCACGGGTATAGGAACCTGGTTCTTAGTATTATAAGCTCTCAGACTTATTACTGAGCTACGTTTTTCTTTTTTATCCAAAACTTTGGATGATATTAATAAATTTAGTAATTATTTTGTATTGGTCCAATATAATAGTTTAAATAATTAAGTTCCTTATAAAAAATATGGAGAATTATCCAACTTTCACATTAGTAAGTATATTTGGAGGAAACTGTATAGACCGACAGCTAAATGATTGTTTTTATATTGCGTCCTGGCACAAATCTACATGAGATATTTTATTATTACGAACTTGGCAAATGGTAAGTTAATACTGATTATAAGGTATAGAAACGGTAATTTAACACAAATTTCTAACAAAAACAACAACAACAAACATCTTTCGTTTCATATGCAAAAATACTTTGTTTTTTTTAACCCCCCCCCCTGACGATTATTAACAGACAGTATCAGGTTTAAGTCACTAAATATAGAACAGTTGAATTTTTTTACATGACATCATATTACAGCATCGATAATCATTAACTTACTATTAAACATCACTCATACATACAGTGGAATAAAACAGTACTTTCTTTATAAATTTAAACTATAGGTTTCATTATAACACCCATTTTCTGGAAGACTAACCAACAACCTTACTTATTTTCCTATGCTATTTGATAGTGCAAATATAGTTGATTGGAACATATCATTTTACGAGATTTCGACCCAGTTCGTGTATCACAAGAGAAAGTTTATCTTGGTTAAAAATTATTAGATTAACGGAGAATTATTAAAATTTGTGGAATTTATATTCGTCATAAAAGTAACCTTAACTTTTAATGGAAACATTTCAATATTGGAAAATGCATGTTAATAGAAATAAAGAGTCCATTTTAGTTTGATTTGAAAACATTGAACCATTATTATGATCCTGCTGATGTTTCGTAGTGAACTTCATGCTACTATAAATAGTGAAAAAATTGAGAAGTTTGATCAGAGTTCTTGAAAACGGTGGTGTCATCAACATACTTCTAATAACAAAGAGGGCATTTTTTAGCCAGTGTATTTCATGGAAACACAGAAATACATTGGTTCAAGATAGCGCCCATCTCCAACCCATAGCAACGTCGTCAACCGAACCATATAATTTGTCATTCAATTGAAAAAAAAGGTACTTTGGTAGCAAAGCTCGTTAATTTCAAATACGCTGATTTTGTTATAGTCAAGTTGCTGGAATTGTCATTGTAAATCAGATCAGCACTTATTTAACTTTATATTTTCTTCTAAAGGTATGTTTGTATATAACGATTCTACATCAAAACTGTCCACATTATTATCAAACAACACTTTTTGTATTTCACGAGAACACTAAAAACTGTCTTTTAAAATGTATTAATTAGCCATAAACTTCTTCAGGAACGCAACTAAAAAATCGGCTAAAGCATGACTGTAGGTTCCAATGTTAGAAACTACTGGTTGTAAAGGACATCGTTCTTTATGAATTGTAGGCAAACCATAAAAATACTTGGTTAACTTCTTAACGGTTTAATGTTCAGGTATTGTTTATCGTTGAGAACATTATCTTTCTTCAATTTCAGTAGGTATCTTTACAACTAGCTTCCTTTTTATCAGTAGGACTATAACGCAGCTTGACAAATTTAGTATAATCATTAACAATATCTACTGCTTTAATTAAATAATAATGATCTTTTTCTAACATTACAATATTAATTCCTTTGTCTGATTTGGAAATAACAACACTATAATTTTTCTTAAATTCTTTAAAAATTTTAAATTATTCTAAACTCAGAATTAAGAAAATTTTATATCCACTATTGTAATTATTAAAAACAGTCGACACTGTATCAGTTATCCTAGTTCTAATATTACTAAAAGAACTGATCTGAGTTATTTCAGATGGGTTGATATGACAATATATGAAAAGCTGTTGAAATTGTACAAAATAATCCTCAAACTGAAGCCTATTAGGGATACTAAATTTTAAATCATGAACTAAAACTTGTTTTCACTTCACTCAAAACATATGTTGAATAATGAGCGATTAACTATAAGTTCATTAGGCTTAAACCAAATTGTTGCCTACGGCTTGTCTTTAAATTGGAGGACCAGACTCGAAGTTTACAATAATCATAGGCTGTTTGTAAATGTACTTGTTCTTGCTGTCGGCAAGGGTACTTTGGTTCTTTTAAAAGAAAACTGATAACGCGAATTAAAGAACTTGAACATGCCCTAAGTCCAAAGGGGATGTGTCATTTGTGTTCCTTCCAAATTGTTTAAAATCTTAGCAAGGGCCAATGTTGAACAGAGCCTCCGAATAAAATAGAGATACTTACTGAGAAGCTGAGGCCCGAGATAAATGTTGTTGGAACAAGTAATATATTACATCAACGTAATTTTTAAAATAGACATGAGATGACGCCACAACAGATTTGAATGAAATCTCAAATTACTTAATTTTAGCAACATAAATGTTTTTTTTTAATGTGTCATCTGTTACAGTTACTGTTACTAACTTGAAGATTATTCTCTCTCTTTTTTATTTCATTATACGACCTCGGTAGTTCATAAAATAGACATGAGATGACGCCACGACCTCGGTCTATGTCTTTTTCCAATGGTCACCATCCCATTATCCTTTTCAGCCGAACAAGCTGATACATTTAAAGTTCTTTCATAATCAGTTAAATGTGTTAAAATCTCTACATTTGACAAAAAAGTTTTTCAATTAAATTTATACTTTTTTTTGTAATTCCTGTTTTTACTAATTGTAATAAAATTTTTAAAGAAAATATGTTGCACAAGAAAAACAAAAAGTACTAATATTTACCTTTAATAGAATTGTAAGTGTTCTACTCGTAACAACCTCGAAGCCATTTTATCTCTTCAGAGACTTGTAACTTACAAAACAAAACTTATGTGTGAGTCAATGATAGTACATAAACCAACGTTATTAACCCAATCTGTCATCGAAACTAAGTTTTTCATTTGGTGATCGGAAGACAGGAGCTTTTTTTCTTTATTGTTAATTTGATTTTAAGTTTATCTCTAATTTACCCAGTGTAGGCTTAATAATGGTGTGGAAATATTTGTACAGTGTAGATGAGTACTTGTGTCATAATATTTATTTTCTGTAGAAAATTAATATCAATTAGTTACATGTTCAACATACTAGAAAATTATACCCGTTCTAAAGACGAGAGGGCTAGATCTACGAAACGACAATTTGAAACTTATATTGCAGTAGCCCTCAACAGCCTGATTCGTGGCTCACACTATGGTATGATACCAAAAAAGTAAACAAAAATACATTTGGGGAATGGTCTTCCGCAACAAGCTCAGGCCCGCCCCTTGGCTTTATGGCCATCATCTGAAATAGCCCAGTGTTGAAAATAATTGGTGACCACTGTGAAACTGCAACCGAACCTGGCAGATTTTAGATATATATGTTTGCTTTGTGATGACAAATATATGAAAAATGTGTGTTTTTAACTGTACGTCATTCAATGTTGTGTTTATATATATTGTAATTATGTCAAGGTGGTTGTAGAGAGATAGACAGTATCCCTTTTTGTTTATTTAATTATTTTTTTTCTTCCACAGCTGACAAACTGTTACAAGCATGGAGGAGATCTTTGTGTGATAGAATCGTTTTAAATATATACCAAGTAAAATAGCATTTTCGAAATTCATTTCAAGGCTTAGCATGAAGGTTAACTTCAAGGTTAGAATAGTAGTTTTTCTCTGAATGGTTAATAGGCGAATACATGATAGACAGAATGCTTCAATTGTACGTCGGCTTCTTCACTGATCAGGTCTTCCTTTCGGTTGACAGGCGAGTAGCCAAGCATGTCGTCTCAGAACAATAACGACACCACAAAAATATATATACTTTGTGCTATTACTTCATAATATAACGTTTGAAACCCCACAACTAAAACACCTTAGACATCTAGTCAAGTCTGATTATATATGTAAAAAAAATCAACAACTATTAGTTAAACTAAAATGTAAATCCAATATACTATTAAATCACAAACGCGAAGCTTAACTTTGTGTCACAAAATCTATTTCATATTACATCACATACCTGAAACTTAACATATACCGGAAGTCTTTTATTTCATATTACTTTTCTTACGTCAGG